TGATGATGATGATGATGATGATGATGATGATGATTATTGAGACAAAATCTTACATGATAGCCCAAGCTGGCATAAAACTCACTACATAGCCTGGGCTGGCCTCAAACTCACAGCAATTTTACTACCTCAGCTTCCTGAGTGATAAGATGATAAATGATACCAGCATTCAGCACAGTACATTTAGAAAATGCCCCAAAGCTGTCACTGCTAAAAGAAAAATAGGAATGGGCAGCAACTATCAGGGGAATGAGGAACCAGGGCTGAGGAGCTACTGCAGGGCAGGAAGAGCAAACAGGGCAAGGGCAACAAAATTAGCTACAGTAAGCAAAAGTCATAGACCTGAAAAGTCTAGTTATATGTGACATTCTATGCAGAGTGAAGGCCCAAGAATTAGACAGCATTCTGACAGGAGTACACCTATGATCAAGTAAGCACTGTGGCTTAGACCTTGGCAGGATGAATAAAGTTGGTAGTTGTGTGAAGAGTTGTGACACAGAGTAAGTAATGGAAGATTCAAAACAAAAAGACAGGACTTAGCCTGTGGCAAGCAGCCCTGCCAGGAACTGGAGGGAAAGCCCAAACAAGGCCAATTAGAGTGTCCATGGGAGCATGTGAACCCAGAATGGAAGAGCTAAACCTGACACTGGAGATGGCCACCATCAGTATGGCTTAGCTCTGTACCCAAATGGAGTTTCCTTACACAGACTAGGTATGGAACAAGGAGACAGCATGTCAGGGTGGGAAGATTTAGAAACAGACATTCTGAAACTCAGTTTTATTACTAGCTGTGAGTCTAGGACAGGTTACACAACTACTCTGAACATCAATCTCCTCATCCCTAAAATCACTTTGTCAGTGGGTTTAGTAATAGATTTTGTAAAGATGTTTTATAATAATTAGAGACTATTGTACAGCAATTAAACAGAATACTTGGCTAAAGAGTGATAGCTATTATTCTTACCAATCAATTATAGAAATAAATAATACTCCTTACATATGTAATTTACGATAGAAATACTCCTTCCCTACAAAGTTAATATAATAATAGAAACTAGTAGAGGCAACACTGACCTTAATAAGCTCATTTGGTTCTGATAACAACTGACAGTCAAATTATGAAAAGTTCAGGGTTGCTTGTAACAGAATTTGTAGATTTACTGTGAACTCTGATGTTATTCAAGTTGATTACAAGCAGATTACTTTTCCACAACTATAAAATTAACAAAATGAAGTAAAGCCATTTCAAAAGTGAGATATACTTCTAAGAAATCAGAGCTCTTTTGAGTGAGAGTATCAAATATAAATATATTTTTAAAATAAACATATTGGGCTGGAGAGATGGCTCAGTGGTCAAGAGCACTAAGTGTTCCTGCAGAGGACCCAGGTTTGATTCCCAGTACCCACATGGCAGCTAACAACCATCTGTAACTCCAGTTCCAGGGGATTCAATGCCTTCATCTGACCTCAGTGGGCATGACACAGGTGCACCTGCCCACTGCAAGCAATACACTCATACACATAAAATAAAAATAATAAATAAAATATTAAAAAAATAATTTTAAAAACCCTATTAAATGGACACATCAAATGACTGAATGTTTCCCGTCCCACCCATCCTTGCCATCCTTGATTTACCACCTGCACTGACAGCACCATTCTGGCAGTCACATGGTTGGGAGCCAGTAGTTGTACACTTCCATTAGGAAGTGGGACATAGGTTCCAGTGGTTGTTATGGGTAGGGAGAGTCTTGAATATGAGAAAGAGGGTAGAAAAATTTTAAGGTTGGAAAAGGTAATCCTTGAGTTGTAACTTCTCATTTGTGGGTCATATATACTTGTATAGCTCTTTATAATTCTTATTCATAAACTATCCTATTAAGCAGGGTAGAGACTATCACCTCTGGGCTTCAGAAAAGGACAACAAAACTCAGCAATTTATTCCACGTCACACACTGTGAAGTGGTACACCTGGTAATCAGGTGCTTGCCTACTGAAATTGTTCTAAGACTTCTGTGTTAGTTCAGCAAGTATGTTTATTTTAAAATATATTTATATTTGATATTCTCATTCACAAGAACTCTGATTTCTTAGAAATATAGCTTGCTTTTGAAATAGCTTTATTTCATTTTGTTAATTTTATTATTGTGGGATTTATCTATGGAAAAGTAATCCCTTTAAACTTACTAGTTATTACTATGTGAATTGCTTTTAGTATCTCTGATACTTTAAAGTTTTCATGAAGAGACTTTAAATTGAAAATAATACATGAAATAAATTACGCTGGAAACATTTCCTTTCAGGGACTAGTAAATTATTCACTCCATTGTCCTAAGAGATAAATTATTCATTGTAAAAATGCTTTTATGAGTAAAACCATATGATGCTTACTGTGACAGTTTAGGGTTCTATGGGATTTCATGTTTTAACTTTTTGGAATGGGACTTTTGTTTCTTAAAAATTGATAAAGTAACTCAGTTCTGTATGAAATAAATATACCATATTATTAAAGACCTAGGTCCTTTGACATATGTCAAAATGAGCCAATTATAGGAATCTACAGAGGATAATGTTATTTATTAGCCAAGGTGACATCTCTAGCTCAGTTCAGTCAATTTTAAAGCCTACAAAGTTTTTCAGTTAGATTTTTCTGGCATTGCTAATTATGACAACATGCAAACACAAATTTTCTAAGTAACAGCTAATATCTAAACATATAGATTTGGGATGGGGAAACTTGGCTGGTGGTAGAGTCCTTGCCCAACATGTGCAAGACCCTGGGTTAAATCTACAGAACCAAGAAAGGGGGAGGGGAAGGAATCAGTAAGTGTATTTGTACTGGTAGTCATCTTCCAGAGTCTTGATGGCTTCCATCACATTTATAGTCACACATACTTTAATTCCCTTCTCAGAGCAATTCTCTCCTACCTGATGCATTCTGTGACTAAACAAATATTATAGCCCTGATATCCTTTTTAAAATATGAATACCCTGAGTCAGGCATGGTGGCCCATATATGTAATCCCAGTACTTGGGAAGTTGAGACTGGAAGACTGGACACTCAAGAAGAGTGTGAACTTGACTCAAAAAACAAAGCAAACAACAATTTTAAAAAGTCCTAACATAAATTTTATTTCTTATCTAGGAATAATGCTTGTGTTGATTTAAAAAATGGATTTAGAGAGGCAATCCTCAAGATAAACAGAAAGAAAGGAATTCATCCTATTCAAAGACACACTTTGCATCTTATGTTTTGGCTGTTCTTTTCCATGATATGACCACAACACTTACCAAGTGGCAAAAATGCAAGACGGTTTCCAGCCATGGAGAGCTCATTGAGGCTGGGCAGCTGGCAGAGATGGCGCGGCACACACCATAGCTGATTGCGGTCTACAGTGAGGTACTGCAGAGAAAGGCACAGGTGAAGCCTCTCGGGTAAAGCTAGCAAACGATTGGTAGAAATGTCTAGTGTCTGCAGCTCCTTCAAATCGCCAACCTCTACAACCAAAATCAAAATGAAGATAAATCACATTCCATTTAACTTAAAGAATAAAATAAAATGAACAATACTGTGATAGTTCAAGTAAGATCAGTAGCTGAGACTTTATAGCTAGACTTCAAACAATCCAGCTTAGGCAAGTGCCTCTATCTCAGACTGGCAGGATTTGTGTATATAGGTAGGATGGGGTGAAGTAGGGTAATGGTGTACATGTGTGCACAGGTGCACTTACCCATGACTACATGTGTGGAGGTCAGAGGTCAACATAGGTTATCTTTCTCCATAGTTCTCTACTCTATTTTTTGAGACAGGGTCTCTCACTCAACCTAGAACTTGCTGTTTTGGCTCCTCTGGCTGGCCAGTGAGCCCCCAGGTTCTGTCCTTCCCCACCCCTTCTCCTTCAGCATTAGGGTTACAGATGTGTATCATTGTGCCTGTTTTTTACATGGAATCTGAACTCAGGTCCTTATGATTGCATAGCAAGCACTCCCCTCAGCCCCTGCCAGGATTTCCTAAATACAGAAGAGTGTTGGCTAGGGGTAGAGAGATGACTCAAGGGTTAAGAGGACTGGCTGCTCTTGTAGAGAACCCAGGTTTGGGTCCCAGAACTCACATGGTGGCTAACAACGATCTGAACTCCAGTGCCAAGAGGATCTGACTACCTCTTCTGACCTCTGAGGGCAATGCATGACATGGGTGCACTTACATACATGCACACAATACACTTATACATATAAAATAAAAATAATAAATAAAAATAAAGTGCTGGCTTGGAGAAAGGGGAAAAGTGATCATGGAATGATGAATCTGAACCAGAAGTTTGCTATTGATGAATTGAAGTTCTTGGTTGGGTGGAAAAGGAATGATTATAGTCACCTCACTGTGGCTGTTTTTGTGATCTATATGAATGATCTTCTAAGTAGATAACAGGAGATTTATACATTAAGACATCCAGGTAAATACACTTGAATCAAATGGAAGATTTCTGAACTAAGAAATAGAGTCTTTAGAAGCTTACTTTAGTCCTACCTCCTACTGACTCCAACATTCCCTCCTCATAGTCTACAGTGGTGGTCTGTTCCAGGGTGAGTGCAATGTTCTTGTCATATGCTAAACCTCTAAGTGCTAAGTGAAGATTGGGAAGTTTCTTACAAGAAACTTAGTTGTTCTCAGGGGAAAATTGCCATTTTAGGGAAAAGACATTTACTCTGTTCAGGTCTGTACCTTCTGCTCCAAGACTCTACATAAGCACTGGGCAGGGCAGGTTTGCTTCTTTCCCATCATGAATCCTTCATGTTACAGAAGCTACAATGCTAACTCATAAACTCCTAATCCCACCCCCTTTCCTAGGCCAAACCTCTTAGGTTTGGTCTACCTGTACCTCCCTGAGCACAGTGCAATTTGTTTAGGACTAGATAAGCAACACTTTTTCTGACAGATAACAAAATCTTACACCTTCACACAAACTTTCCTTACAGTTACAGTGCAGGGGTCGGCAAACCACAACTCTCAGGTTATACTTGGCCCATAGCACTGGCAAGCCAAAGTTGGCACTTACCATTTTTAAAGAGGGTAAACAACATCAAAACAAAGATCATATGGCAGAGACCATATGTGGCCTACAAAGCTTAAAAATACTTAATATCTGGCTATTTACAGAAGTTTCCTGTCGGCTAGGAACATTTAAAAAAAAAAAAAATCAGAGGCAGGTGTTAACCCCAGGACTTGGGAGGTGGAGGCAGGTGGATCTCTGTGAGATTGAGACTACCCTGATCTACACAGCGAGCACCAGGCCAGCTGCAGCTAACAGGAGATCCTATCTCAAAAAAACAACTTGACCTAACTTGACATGTTAGAAACCAGAGCAGAAGACACACTGATTTGAAGCACATAATATATATTATCCAGGGCTGACTGTATGCTGTACAATTAAACATGTCTCCTATTTAAAAGGACCGAAATCACACAAAATGTGTACTCTGACCAAGTGGGAATTAAAGTAGAAAGACTTGAAAGCATCTACACCACACCTCTTTCTCACCCCATGGCTCAGGAATCTTTGAAGATGGGGCAGGACGATTCTAAGAGCCAGAGGTGGTGAATGAATATAAACAAGGAACAGTGCTTTCCAGACAGCAGGGAAGCTGTACACATGAACTCACAGCAGTTGTGGTGGCATGCACAAGACCCGCTCAAGCTCAAGCCAGACAAAATCTCAGCATGGAGGGGGAGGTGTGTCTAAACTCCCACCTCTAACTAAGGGGCTATTGGCATATTATAGCTGCAGGGAGTGAAGAGTAAGTTTTCTCTAAGTGTATGACTGAACCCCTGCTAGGTCAGGGTTGGTTCCACACTCAAAGTATTTAGACAACACAAACTGGACTTGGTAGGGGAAAAAAAAAAAAAAAGGAAGGTGGGGGTAGATCTTGGAGGAGTTGGGGGAGGGGGTAATATGATCAAAATACATTTTATAAAACTCTCAAAGAATAAATAAAAGGAATAAAAGGAAATTTGGAAACTTTTCAAATACTTGGAAATTAAGTAACATATTTCTAAATAACCAGTAAGTAAAACACACTGTGAAGAAAGTTGGAAAAAAATTGAGATATTTACTTGTTTTTATTTATGTGTTGAGAGTTTGCCTGCCTGATTGTATATGCACGATTTGCATGAAATACCCATAGAGGTTAGAAGAGGGCATCGATCCCCTGGAACTGGAGTTACAGATGGTTATGAGCCTTCAAGAGGGTGCTAAGAACTGAATTCAGGTTCTCTGCAGAAGCTTTGAGTGCTCTTAACTGCTGAGTCATCTCCACAGCCCCCCCTCAAATGTTTGTGACCACATGAAAACAATCACAAGAAGATATCAAAATTAATGGGATGCAGGTGAGTAAGTGGTAAAAGGGCGTGCTAAAGCTTTGGATGCTGAGTTAGAAAAGCTCTCAGATCTATTTCCTAAGCTTCCACCTTGACAAAGGGGAAAAGGAAGTGAACACTAAACTCAAAGGAAACAGAAGAGAAGAAAGCATTAAAGCTACATTAACAAAACAGAAATTTTAAAAGCCACAGAAAATCAATGAAAAGTCAGTTCTTTCAGTTATTCAACAAAACTGGGCTTATTGACGGTTGTGCTCCTTCATTAAAGGAGGGGTAAGCAGGATCATTGGACCCTCACCTGAGTATCTTGCCCATCTTCCCTGCCAGCTGTACATAATTCTGCCCTAATTGCAAAAGGTCTCCTGAACTTGGGAAGGCCTATAATATATAATCTTGGGAAGGCTAGGAAGAGTGGGCTTAACCCATGAGGTTATAAAAGTCAACATCCATGCTGGGTAAAGGCTTTCTAGCGCAAGTACTCTTAGGTCACCCATATACCTCAGTAATCCCTCACTCATCTCTGCAAGTAAACTCAATAAATTCATTGGTTCCCCAGGGTGAACTTTAATGTAATCAAACACTAGAACTTTAGAAAGAGGATAAACATTGCTTGGTATCCCCAGGAAGAGAATTCTCACAACAGATGGAAAATTATATGTTAATATTATTCTGTATCATGGTTATTAAGAAAAAATAGGAAGGCAAAAGATATTAAGAAGATATGGGAATGGAGATATTGTATTAAGGATTTATGTATGAAGATTATGATGGCTGGATATTCCCAGAATAGAAAGAAAAAATAAGAAAGTCTAAACAAGTGATGATGGTCTGTGTAGGTTTGTTATGATATAGAAAGGATAAGACAGAAATAATATATAGATAATGTTAAATTTTCTAAGGTCATAGTTCAGTCAACTACTTTAAGGAACAAAATATAGGTCTAGTCAAGGTTTATCTAAGAATGTTTGGTTTTCGCCCAAGTTTTATCTACATAGCACATGGTAATTAAAAGTATCAGACTGGTGGAACTAACCTTCTTGGATGTTTAATAGCCATACTTTGAGGCCTATACTAATCTGGTCAGAGGGACTTAAAGGGACAATTTTTGTTCTTTGCCCTCTAAGGTCAACTAAGTTCCAGGGGACTATGGAACATCTCTCAAAATGTCCTGTAACTGTGGTAAGTCACCTGTCCTCTTGTTGAGGGAGGCCACGGAGACCCCACTAGATGGACCTGACCTATTGTCCAGTCTGCAAAGAGGAGGGTCAACACAGAGGAAACATTTCCTCCATGCTTCCAAGTGAAACCCTGGTGGAGCAGGACCTTTGACTTATCCTCACATAGATGGAACTGGTAAAAAGAAAGGAGCCAGGGGCTCCTCCCAAGCCCATGTGACCCCTCAGGCCCAGATCTGACCTTAAAAGTAAAAATAAATTGGTTTATTTGGGACAAATGCATGGTCTTAAATGCCCAACAGGAACGTATAACCAAAGAGTAAAATGATTAGTATATTTCTTTAAGAGTCCAAAGGATTGAACTTCCTTAGGCTTAAATTCATATAAGATGCTATTTAGACAATTTATCACTAATGATTTATTCGTAATAAGAAAATGCTGCTCAGGAAAAAAACAAAACAAAACTATTCTTATCTAAAAATTAAATGATGGCTAAATTTCTTCTCTCTCCTGGTCTAGAGCCATTTTGGAGGGAACTCACACTGTGATTCTAGTCACTCTATTATCAAAATGCCTGAAAAGCAAATCCTGAGTCTAGCCATGGCAGCCAAAAGTAAAATGACGAAAAACCCAGTAGATGGATGCTCTCGGAAGCCCTTATCAAGAAACTCTGAGTTGAAAATTCACCCTGTTCTGACTTCACCTAGTTCCTTGCCTAGAATCTGTGCCTAACTATTCTTGCCTTTACTTCTCCTTCCCCTCCTTGACCCACTGATATCCATCCTCCTCATAATAATGACTATTCCATGCCTTTTACATTTTTTCAGGACAGAATCAATGAGATGTCCTGACAGTCAGTGAACCAGATGCTCTTAACCAAATATCCTCAGGTCTCCTACCACCACCTGCCTGCCTAACCCTGCATTCCAGACTGATGTTCCAGCCTT